GAAAGTCTAAGAGTTATTTAATTAAATATTTAATAACACTATCTGCGATGGACTGGCGACCTGTCCAGGGTGTACCCCGCTTCTCGTCTGTAGACAGCTAGAGATAGGCACCAGCACCCCTCGTGACTCTGCTTGGGATAAGCGTGATGGAAAATGATGGATGGATGGATAACTGTCATGATTTTATCTAAAGCTCAGACCCACATGCAGTAAAACCAATTCAGAGAGACACCAGGGGAAAGGTTTAACAGGTTTATTAAAGAGATAAGGCACGGTGCAGAGTTGCTCTGAACTCAGCTCGACCGGAACTGGAAGGTGAAGGGAAGACAAATGATTAGTTCAGGTTCAGTGGGAAATTTCATTCTTGGATTTGGAGAAGAGGATCTGCTTGTTGACTTACGTTTCCAGAGAAGTTGTAGAATCTTTGACTCCTTTGTGCTGTTTTCCAGTGTTATTCTTATTCGGTGGAGGGCGGAAACAGGGTTTACTCAGAACTCAGATGGTTGTTTGTGAATGGAGAAACGGACTGCCACTCAGATTTCCTGCTGTACTTGAACGGGTCGTAATGGAGATGATTCCCTTGCTCAGAGAGTAAACTCAACGTCCTCTCAAGGAAAATGGATCCAAACCTCCAGTTTGAATCCCCAGCTCGGTTTGAGGCTCAGTTGATTCCTCCAGGGAGAGAAGGTCCGAAAAGGTCCAGTTTGCAGGATGACTTCCTGTCGAGAGGCAAAGACAAAAACTAAGTTAAAATTTAGGTAGGCAAAAACTCAGCTTTGCTAGAGTACCCAAAACTGGCAAACGCTCTGGCGTCGAGGTAGTGGCAATCAGCAGCTTAAGAGCACTCCGTTAACGAGGTAACCATCATCAGGTGTGTGAGGAGGCGGACCAGAACCAGGCGCCTCCTGCTGGTGGAAGGGAGAACAACACAAAAAACAAACACATAGACTGGAGTCCTGACAATAACAACACTATCGTACAATATTTTCTAGTATTATCCATTTTAAACAATGGCTAAGTCAAGAAAATAATTTAGCCCCTTTACTGTATTGTATTAATCAGTTTTTTTTATAATTGAATGTAAAGGGCAGAATCATTTTATCACCTCTCTCATTGAACTTATAAACCCAGAATAAAGTGACGATAATCAGGTGGTTCCCTTGGGGTACATTTAAAGCACTCTGCTCTTTTAAACAACAGCCCTTAGCTTTCCCCGGTTATTTTCCTTTACTCCATCTTTTTAGTATAATTGCGCTATTAATTGTGAATTCCATCCTTTTATTCTTTTCACTGAACAGGTTTTCTATATGTTTTTGTATAGAGAGCACCAACCTCGCAAGTTAAATTTACCACCAATTAAAAAAAAACACTATGGTGATGTAATGATGCTTTTGGTTTTAATGAACATTTAAATCCTGTTAGCAACAGAAATCCACAATGTGCATTGTTTGGTTGAAAGAACATTATTATGATTCTGTGAAACATGGTGACTTGGTGTTGTTGCATATTTTACTTAGACTCTGAAACAATGGAGAATTTTGCACCTACTTGTAAAGGCAATGAAGTGGACTGCCTTACTTGTTTAAAGATAGTACATTTTGGACCATTTCTTTGCTATTTTGTTTCTTGTTAACAGTATCTTCCCTCTATGTGATAATCAGTCCTTCTGCCATCTCACTATTCTCACATTTGCATCCACAGGATCCTTTGTCTGATTGAGACGTCATCTCTTATATTCCTAATCCTGACTCTGCACTTTGAAGTGTGTAGATTTTCTCAATCCTTGCATGACATCCAGATCTATTCTCAAGAGGTTCAGATTTTTCCGTTATCTCTCTTTGGTTCAAATTAGAGGGTTAAATAGGGTTTAGACAGATCTTCCTGGGAATTTTCCTTCCAGACACTAACTTACTCCTTTCTCTAAAAGCACTGTCATCCCTGAGGAGTCCACTTCCACCTCTGATCCATTCTCTCTATGCACTTTTATCTATAGACTCTGCACTGAATCATTTACATCTTCTCTGTCCATGGTTATTCAGTGAAGAAAACTGTTTCTCTGTTTTACTTTAAAGTCTAATAAACATTCAATGAATTGATAAGCATTTGACCACAATTGGAAACGCAACTGCTATGCAGCAATAAAAAGAAGAACAAAAACTAAATTACATTCTAGTTCTCTGGAAAAGTATATTTGACTTCCTTTGATATATTTTGCTGGCATCTTTTTCATTTCCTTGTTCATTACACCTTATAAACTCACCGTTTGACAATTTAACCTTCAGAAACTTAAGTGTTCTTTCAGCGATGTTGAAAAAAAATATTAATATAAAGTCATCTATATAAGACACAATGAACTACCTGCATGTAAAAAAAAACATTGCATATAGCCTTATAATGATCAATGATTTGTAAAGGCTTAATGTATTGATAGATGAACCTTGTAGAACAGGTTTAAAAGCTTTGGAGTTGATGGGGAATATTAAAAAAGCAATTTAAATGGTGTTCTGTTTGATTGTTAGTGTTCCTTTGTTTTCTTAAATCGTTAAAACCTTATTAAAATCAAACAATTGCACGTACCTGCCTCAGTTTGTTTTAAAACATAATTATATTAAATGATCGGTTGTGTTTTACAGCATCAGTTTTTTGTATTAGTTCTACATATTGTTTAATAGAAAAAAGAAATTAAAAAGGGGGGCGTCTGCATCCTTCATATTGAAAGTGTTATCCTGCTTTAATATACCAGTTTTAAATGTTTGCAGTTGATCAAAAGCATGTTTAACAACCATCAGTGGAAATCTGATGAGCTGAAAAAGGACAGATCTAAAACATGCAGGACTAAGGCCACCTTACGACAGGCTTTAGGACACCTTTGTAATTGGTGTTAGCGATTAGCATGAATAGGGAATTCAGTAGTTTCTCTAAATGCTTATTTAAGCACGAAAAACTCTACCGTAATTATAAAATTTTTAGTCTGCCAACATTTCTTAGGTTGCTGCAAGACTCAGTTTAGGCTGAAAAAAGCTTTGCTTTTATTCACTAAAAAATACACCTTTGTGTTAATAAACCATTTATATACATTTTGAGCTTCCCCCTAACACTATTGTAAAATCTCGCTGATAGTAATAATGGCTTCCTGAGTCGTCTTTTGTCAGTACATCTTCTATTATTGCCTGGTCTTCAAAGGTTCAGAATAAGGGACGCCAAATTCCAGGTGATTTGATCTAAAAAGGTTGGTACCCAAATACTGAGACGTATAAACCGTTTTGGTTCCATCCATGGAAATGAGCAGATTGCTTGTTCTTCAGGCAGCTGAGAGAAGTTGCAAAAGGAAGATAAGGTTCTATGCCGTGTAGTTGGAGGCAATAATGATTAAAAAATAGTCATTTTAATAATAACATATATTGGGCACTTTATATAGGTCTCTCTCAGTCTCTCAGACTTATGAACAAAAGTAAAAATAGAAATAATTAAAGCCCCTAAAGAGAAATATAAACAATAAAATAAGAGAAGGGTTTGCAGGTCTAAAAACGTGCAAATGGATAAAACAAAACCATGTTTTGTTTAATCTAGGGAAAAAGTGTTGCAAGGAGTAAGAGATGCACACTTTCACCTCTCTTTCTGTTTGCCAGCTCTTTTGATATTTTATTTTTGTTATATAAAAAATACCTAAATGTTGAAATTTAGACTAAGAGTTTTCTTAGACTCTCACTTTTATTATTTTGGTGTATAAAGATTGCCTGCTATCCTGCTTTATTAATATATTGCTATTATAATACTTGTTTTTCCTGACTGAATATTTGCATGTAATCTCTCTCCATCCTCTGGCATTGCATGAATGCCTCCTTTATGGCAACAATGACAGCAGAAATGTTTGCTTATCAGTTTGTAACATACCTGTGTACAAAAAAGATGTAAAAAGATCTGTGGTAGTTGAGTTTTCAGATTTAGAAAACTGCTTTGCACATGCTAAATGTTTGGATTTGTGTGTCTGGTCATTAGAATGTGATTTGTATACTGAGAGAAGCACATAGGCAAAAGCAAAGGTCTGCACCTAGTCTGTTGAATTGCAAAAGCAAATCACTTTTCTCCTGTGAAAATCTCTGCACGTACAAACACGTCTGCACATGTTCCAATCTTTCTGTTGATGATACCCTTCAATTTTTACTTAAAACAACTTTTTTGTGCTGAGGTTTTTTCACTGATATGAGGTAGAGAGATTTCTTTCTTTAAACAGTTAATCAAGTTGATCATGGTTGCTTGATTATGTCATAAAATGTGGGAAAAATTTTTATACATATATAATTTTAACTTTAAAAATCCCAGAGATTTACTTTGAAGAAAATCGCTAGGATTTTGTTTTTCATCAGTTTCTGGAATCTTCCTCACAGAAGACAGAAACGGTACATCAGCTGCTGCTGGCGGCCCTGTAGCAGACTGGTCACAAGTCATACAAGTCTGAGCAGCCTGCAATCTACTGAAAAGTGCAAAGTCATAGAATCTTTAATCATGTTTTCCCCCTGATTTACTATTTAGTAGAAGAGATGCATAATTTTTGTAACACTGAAAAAGGCTATTTAGATTAAGCTCATTTTCCTCCATCTTTCCTATCTGAGGCTGTAAATTGCTTGATTTAGGAGATTATGTTGGGACTTACTGGAGGAAAGTCGATGCATCTGATCAAAGTTTCTTCATTTTGAAGGAGATTGAAAATCTAGCTTTTTATAAAATGCATTTTCTTTTAAATAAATGTGCATTAACATGGACTGTAAACATATGCCGGACTGTGGGAGGATAACCCATTTTTTCTTGGTCAAAAAAATGAATTTTCTTCACCCACACCTATATAAATGGGGGGACAGCTGCCCTCCTTGTTCCATCGTTAAATTGCCCATTACACTGTTTAGAAGCCATTTCTGCTGACTGCTCACTATCATTGTGTATTCTCACGAGAAATGCAGGTATGTCCACTCAAAGACTGCATGTGCTCTATCATTCTACAGGGCAGAACCAATTCTACAGAGAATAAAGGAGGACAGGACAAGAGTGGTTTCCCCTTCTTTTGACAACATCAAGTACGACACATTTGAAATTGAGGAGTACCCTCTATCTGCTCAGGGCTTCGACTGGGAGCTCTGGTGTCGGTATCTCAACCCACCAAAAGCCTGGTGGATGCTACGCAACCAAACAGCTCCCATCAGGTAACCAGAAAAAAATCTGCACATTTCGGAGAACATTCCAGCCGTATTATATATTTATATGTATATATATATAATCATCACAAAGAATTTCTTTCTATGAATAAAACAAGCTCAATAGTTTATTAATTATTAACTGACCTTGAAGCATACTGAAGTACGATTACTAAGCTTGTTCCATTTAAATTAGATTTGAACTCTGATTCCCCTGCATGACATTGAATTTAGTTTCTGATACATAAAGTGTCAGTTTAATAAAACCCACATGAATCCTGGAGGATAAAATAACAGATTCAAAGCAAGTTAAACAGGACCTGTTATATCATAAAGCCTTAACGCAATTTACAAACTAATGCAGGGATGTAACCACCCAATCACAGCCCTCCATGTGTCACTGTTGTTTCACACATGAGAGTTGAAGTCCCTCTGCGGATGGAATCCTCTGTAGGGGTTCTATCCAACACCCCTCCATCACATTATTACCTGTTAAGAGGGGATTATCATTGTTATATTTTAAATAATCCTCATTATTACCTCCATCTCCATGGTTTGGGATGTTATCTTTGTTTTTACAGCCACTCTCAAATACCCTGTAGCACTACGAAATCTGCTTATCTCATTGGAGCTAAACTAAACCGGTTTCAATGTCTTAAAGCTGCAGTCTGTAACATTGAGGAGAGAGCAGACTTCCACTGAAAATTTGAAGAAAAACAGGTTTCACTCCACTCCCCCACCCTCACTGCTTCACTCATGCCCCACCTCCAAGCTCCACCCCTCTCACAGCATCTGCGCGGCTACCGCATGCGACCAGAAAGGGGGGGGGGGCATTATTCAGCGTGTGTGAGCTGTGATTGACACTCCAGCAGACGCTCCTCTGGCTGTGATTGGTTGTTTTGACTCGTCCCGAATTATTCTTTCCAGATTGAAATACAGGCAGTAGGCGGGACCAATTGAAGCAGTTTTTTTCACAGGTTACATATCACATGTACTGTTGTCTGGGCATAGGGACAGTTTGAGCCAATATGACAAAAAAGTGATTTTTAAAAACTTACAGACTTCAGCTTTAACCAGTTTTACTTTAAACTAAAGAGTAAAAACATATTTATATACCAACACGAATTATAATAGGGTGTAAAAGCTGGGTTTGACAAAGCAGAACTGGTTGCAGGTTTAGAAGAAGGAGGCAGTAAGAAAGAACTAAAAATGCTAAGAATTAAAAATAAAGATCACAATAAAAACACCGAGAAGAAAGGAGAAAATTTAACGGGACATAAAAGACATACATAAAAGATTCAAATACAAAATTTAAAAGGATCCCCACATTTGAAAACTTAATCTATATCCAATCAAATGGTGGTCATCTTCTCAGCTTTTTTAACAAATGTTTATATTTGGCATGAAATGTATTGTATTAACAGTTAACCTCTGGTTTAGTAAACTTTAAGGAAAATATTTTATGTTTTTTTTGGCTTTCCAGATAACTGTGAATAAAACCAACTATAGTCTATATATGAGCTGTGATCCTAATGTGATATTGTTTGATGTTGAGAGCCTGTCATGGGAGCGCCTTTTTTCCTTTCAGCATTTCCAGGTTACTGTCTGTTTGCCAATCTGTCTTTCCTCAGGGAAGAGAAATTCGCTCAAACAAGTTTTTTGTCAGTATGTTGTATTACATATTGATATGAGGAGATGTGTGGGACTGACTGCGTGAATACTAATCAGAGCTATTTTTTCCACTTCTGTCGGTTCAGTTTGATGTTTATCCGTCCTTTTGACAGCACTGCCATTTGTTTGAATGATGACACATATGGCTTCAGCCTGACACGCTAAAACATTTCTCCTGAGCTTTGAATAGGTAGTGTTCTCAGAATAAAAACACAGTTCCTCAGGGTGTAATTTCCAGTGTGGGATAATTGTGGGTTAGAATAAGGCTTTTGTAGGTGGGTTTCAGAGAATATTTGCATTTAAACTCGCCTAGTGCTATGCATTTAAAGCAGTTTTTTTCTGATGCCTATTTTCTCTATTCATCTTCTATTTCAGAAGTCCTGCTCTGATTGGGTGCTTTGTGGTCGACAGGAAATACTTTGAGGAGATCGGCCTGCTTGATGAAGGCATGGAAATTTATGGTGGAGAAAATGTGGAGCTCGGCATTAGGGTAAGAGTATTAGCTTCCCCTTTATTCTAACTCGAAAACATTTCAGTGCCCAAGGATTTTCATGACATCTATTGCATGGTGTCATCTGGACAAGTATATTACATCAATAAACACTGTGTGAATTGAATAATCTAAATTGCAGCCACATTCATCGTGCAAAAGCAGACAAACGACCTTTCCTTTGACAGAACTGGAGCCTTATCTGTCATTCACATTGTGTGACCTTAAGCAAATTGAGCTGATTATTGATGATGTAAGGGTAGAAGGATAAAAATGTCACAGAATTTAAACACAATGTCAGAATGGTAATTTCATTATTGAACATCAATAATATAAAGCAGTATTATACAAATATTATGCCTAAACTGGGATTTAGTTTGACATTTCAGAGGCGTTATCACCTGCAAATCTGATTATTTTCCTGTTACAACCTTTTATTTCAGGTAAATTATCACTGAATGCTTAGAATAACTTAATTTTAATATTTAAGTATAGCAGTTTATTTATTTAGAGTATTTCTAATAATTTTTTCTCCTGACAGTGGAGCTATTCCTCTCTCCTAAAGCATTCCTGAATGTACATTTTAGTTGCTGACATCACCTAGCAACTTCTAGTGACTTTTAGGACACCTAATTGCAACTTTCCTTGCTGAGGAGTTGGCCGCAGTGTTTAAATGATTTTACCCATCAGCTGGATTTTGCATCAACTAATTTTGAAGATAAATTTACTGCACCAGCTACTTAATTACTCACGCCTGTCTGCTTGCTTAACACAAAAAGGAAGATATATTCGCAAGGAGACGTTTTATGAAGGAGGGTTTTTCAACTAAGCATCAGAATAGAGAGGAAACCAATGTATTTGTCTGAGTAATTTAGGCACTGTAGATTTACTCAGATTTTTTAGACATGGGGCGCAGTGACCCATTTGCAGTGGCCTTAGTCCTCTACTACCCCCCCAAACACCAGACATCTGTCAGACGTCGGTTTTTAGGCTAAATCTTGTCAGTCAGTCATAGCCTTGATTTAGTCCAGAGATAGTTATTGAAAATTGGGCTGTGTTTGATCGGTCTGATTTTGTCCCACTTTAGTCCAATATTAGAAGATGAAAAGACATTATAAACCAAGTCTACAAAGTCTTTTCAACAATCTGAAAATTATGGCTTTTCACCTTTCACTTTTCAACCAAACGTAATTGTCTTTTCATTGTTTTTTCAACCAATTTTTGCTCAATCGGTAGGCTTAGATTTGGGGTATAACTGATTGGGATATAACTTAACTTGATATTGTTTCTGACTAAGTCTGTCCCAAACAATGACAGGCTACCCATCTACTGATGGCTACCTCCAACAGGATAATACAGAAAAAACACAAAGATTATATCTCTGGAGGACTATGTAAAGCAGATATTCAGCACCATTGTAATGCCCTGAATTTAGTAAGGATCCAACATCAAACCATACTTTTAAGTAGGGATGCAAGATATTGAGATTTTGGGCGATATCCGATATGCCGATATTTTAAAACTCATGTAGCCGATAACCGATATCGATACCGATGTTAAAGCTGGACAAAAATAAGTAGTCATTGAAAATAGCAGTTTTGTTATCCATTTCTGACACTTTGAAAAATAATAAACTCAAATATATTTTCATATGCTGATACCAAATTGATTTTTAAAAACGCGGTATCGATCTATTTTACTTTCAAAATCTCGTGAAATTTCATCGTTCTGTTACAAACTCTCATGATATTTTGCAAATGATTGTGAGATTTTGTTAGTAAAATAGATCGATACCGCGTCAATATATCAACATATAAAATATGTCAAAATTTCTTGAATTTTCCGGGGATTTCGTAGCATAACGATGACATATAGCAATATTTCATTAGTAAAAGAGATTGATATGGTGTTTTTAAATGGCAATATATCAGCATATGAAGATATTGGGATATTTTAATGTATCAATATTTTTCCCTCGTCTTTAGAAGTTTTTAAGTCTGTAAAAAAGAAGTTTCTGAGGAAGAAGTAGTAGTATTTTTTTTTAGACTTTAGAAACTTAGAAGCTGATCAAATATAGGGTTAAATATCGGTGGGGTGGCCGATGTCCGATATTCAGTTTTAAGGCTGATACCGATAGGGGGCCGATTATATCGTGCATCCCTACTTTTAAGAGTAAATTTACCGTATGATTCTGAGTTTTAAAGGTAGACATAGTGTCTGCCTGACACAGAAGAACTGAAATCTGGTTCCCAAGAGGAAGGAGGTGAATTTTTTATTTACTGTGGGGATATTGATGCTTTCCAACTTTATTTTACCTGAAATGCTCAAGTTCTTGGTCTATAACAGAATGACACTTATTTGCAAAACTCAAGCACAGATTAAAAAAAACCCAGAAGAATTTAACTGATGTGAATATTTTATTTTCCAACTGTCGCTGCACACGGGGGAATAGTTTGTAGAAGTATTAGTACTGACATGCATCTACTCTGTAAATCTTAATAAATCGCTTGTTCACACAGACCCACTTTATTTACCTAAGCTGTTTTAACAAAACACATCAGGAGTGATGGTAAGAATCAATATTTTCCATTTTTGCTGACTTAGCAGGCGACATGGCAAATTGTTCGTCTTTTAGATCGATGAATATGTAAATCAGCAGTGATGTTTTGACAGAATCAGTTCTGTCCTCGTTTCTCAAGGGCTTTTCTCTTACTCTAAATAATTCATCATGTGTGAAGTTCAGCTCGAGGTTTAAGGCAGAGAACAGCCAGTTTGTTCTATTTCCATATCCGTCTCGCCAACCAGCGGTGCCTTTTGTTATCGCTGAGATTTATTTTATTTTTCATTTTTTCCACTGAAGCGTTCTGTATTTCTGGCCCCACTGTGATAAAAAACGCTTTCATGATGCTTCATCAGCACCATGGCCCATTATTGTGCACATTTAATCCTCATTGTCTCAAGACAGCTTTTCTTTATCACTACAGGCAGTCTTTCCTTGATATGATTTATAATACACAACTTTGCTTTTTTGTTCTGATTAAAACTTCTGAAAGACATTTAGAGAAACTTACAGTATTAAACATAAACCCGAAAAAAGAAAAACAAAAAGCTGGTGACAGAAAGGTAGTTATCAGTTGTAGGTTTGCATTGTGGCTGTTTTATTTTTCCAATGAGCATTTTTTATATAGAAAAAAGGAAAATAAAAAAGACCAGCACCTTTTATTCATATTTTTATCCACACTCTGTACTCCTCAGTTTATCTTCCTTTGTCACATTTATTTAATGTTTCACACATTTTCTCCTTTTCTTCTCTTGTCTATTTTTTTTTTTTTACATTTGTCTCTATCATGTTCTGCACACCCACTTTCTCAGACACAATTTGCTATATTTGAAGAATAGCTCCTCATGCTCTAACCCCATCTTTAACTCCTGGATAGAGAGAGAGCCGAGGTATTTCTGCAAGTGGCATTCACCGACTCAGAATCTGGCTCTGGTTCCTGCTCCTGTCTGGGCTCTGAGCCAGTACAACAGTTTAGTTATTGCTATGCAGCAGCTCTTTGAATGGACGCAGGCAATGAGGCAACCCTGAAGGAAAGATTTAACACTAACACAGCAGGACCTGCTTTTCAAATGAACATTTTTTTTCCAGATACATAAAATTCCTTACATGCTAAATCTACCTAGAAACACTGTGAAATAAATTTGCACAATCTAAGCACAGCATAACAAATGTACCCTTTCCAAATATACTGAGGAGGCAGAAAGGGGACATTTTCGTGTAGGATATTCACATCTTTTCTAAGCTTGTTTTCCAAAAAAGTTGTATGAGTCATATTTTCTCCTTAATCTCTTTGAAGCACAGTCATTATACAGATACACAGCCCAACAACTAATGAAAAAAGAAATTAAATTTCTCTTGACAATGAATTGACCCAGAAATTATTTATATTAATGATCAAATTGCCAACAGGAGAGAATTTTCAACTAATATGATACCAATAATTTCAGAACTTTGATTTTTAAAATAACATTTAACCCCAGAACAATATATATATTTTAATCCTAAATAAAGAAATACAGCAAAAAATGTAAACTGGACCCCGAGTCTTTGTGCAAATAATGCATCTAATTAAAAACCTTAACTAGCCTGTCAGGCTCAGAACAAAAGGACCCAAGAATAAAGGCAGAAAGACAGTTAGATTTAACAAAACGTTCATTCAAGACAGAACTGCAGGGAACAGTGTCCGCATCTAGGAACCTCGGCAGGAGGAGAACACAGGTTAGGGACCAGGTCCATCTGGTGGAGGATGATAATGAACAGTGAGTCACTAACCTGGTCACTCTGTGCCCAGAGGAGGAGGTTGATTCCAGCTGGTCGGCTGGCTGCAAGATGTGGTGCCACCCAGAGAGTCCTAGACTCTGAAGTCCTGGAGGTTAGAGGACAGGCAGGAGATCAGACGAAGGAATGCAGGATAATCCAGAGGACGAAGCCAAAGCTGTTCTCGAAGACATGCTCTGGAGTCAGAGCCAGGTGATCATAAGTCTGAAGAGGTACCGAAGGGAATACCAGGACGGTGATGGGAAACAGTTCCAGGTTCAGTTCACAGACTGACAGAAATCTAGCAGGAGTCTGAGGACAGGTCAGGCAAACAGATCAGAACAGGAGCAGGTGGGCTCATAGGTCAAGAGACTAAATGGGTCCCGAACAGGCAATCTGAAACAACTAGGTACACTAGAGAACTCTCACCACAAGCTCAAACAAGCTGGCACTGATGACTGGTTAGAAGGCTTGTTAAATAAAGGCTTGTGCAGGTGGATCAGATGGACCGTAATGAGAACTGGGCAGAGATATGTCACGGTCTTGGTTTCATTACGTTTGCTTTGAGGTTTCAGTTTCACTTTGATTCATGTTTTTCTTTGTTTTCTAGTTTTATCGGTTTAATTCCTATTTTGTTCTGTTTTCCGGATGTATTTGAGTTCTTAGGTTTCTCTTTGTTGCC